ATTTGGAAGGATAGGAACTCTGATAATACATCAAGAGAGAGATAGTTAGTGCAAAATCGTGGGCGACTTTCATTTGCATTCCCTAAACATCGGAACGTGCCATACTCTCGGAATTTTAGCTGTCTTCCTGAGCTGTTCGCCAATGAATGTAAACTTTGGTTCATCTGTACCATCTCTGACACTCATATTTGCTTTCATATGTAAGTCAAGAATAACTGGATTGCTTTTAAAATGGCATGCACAATGTAGTGGAATTGCTCCTCGATTGTCTGTAATCTAAAAAGAACAGCATAGATGTATTAACTTGTCTTGATCACATTCTATAATGTTGACATACATCACATTTTGCATTTTTTTGCAGTAGTAATTGGACATTATAAACATTGGATGCCATCACAGCATGATGTAACGGTGTTCGACCTTGAGCATCGATTTTCAGTCCATTTTCATCGCCCTTAGCTAGCAGATAACTCAGCACAGAATGTTGACCCTTAAAAAACAATGGGTTCATGAAAAATTAAGTCAGAGTTACAGTTACATAATAAACTTGACAGTGAATAACAGTGCCTGCTTTCTTCACTAGATGTTTCTCTCAAAAACGATCGGATGAAACAGTAGAAAGGCTGGTGACTTCTTTTCTGTCGCGCAATTCACACAAGCGTGCTCGATTAGATGTAAAACCTAATACATCTTGTTGCTGCGCATTCTGGTGAGAGTGTTTTTCTGCTTCTTACTCTGCAGAAATCATAACTTTTTTCCTAACATCGCTTTTGTCTCGCAATAGCAACTGGCTTTAGACAAAAGAAAAATTATAAGAGAAACTAGCCCATGCAGAAAGTTTATATCTGTACAAGATCTATCAAGTTTCTTGATCTCAAAGAACGTTCAACAATTCTTGTCAAGATCTTGTCAAGTCATTTTGGAGGAATTTGCCTGCAAAAATCTGAATCAAGATCTTGACAAGATATGAAAACTTTTCTGTAATTAAGAAAATCTTTGCTAAGAAAAAAAGTTATCAATTATTTTGATTACGACATGACTCAGAGGTTCGACAAAATTGTAAATATGCCAACTTTGCATTTATTTATAGTTATTGTAGTACTACAGTGTAGAGGACTTCTGCTACAATTCTGTTGGTCAGTTTTAACGATGATCACAAATACCGGATTTAAAATTGAAGAAGCGTTACGTTTTCACTGGAAAACCAAGTTTTACTGTTATATCGTAGAAGCTGACCAAAAAAACAGAAAATAGTGTGTCGCTTCTGAAAATACAAAATGCTATCAGAAATAGACGAAAATCAATGTGTTTCAAAGTTCTCTCTAGAAACATCATTTTTATTCAAAATAAACACAAAATCCATAATAGCCATAAAATTTTCGTTAATAAACTACTAATATGCATCAAAATTTCTTTCATTGTTGTTCTGATAAAGCACAAGAAGCGATCACAAAAGAACTTTCTGTACAGTTATGTGCATGACTCATCCACCAGTAGTGAGGGGCAGCGATGTGCACGGGTATCATTTTTCGTACTCGTACCCCACCCGAAACTTGTTTTTCACCCGTACCCGAACCGACAACTTTGTACTCGTACCCGACTTATGCCCAAAAATGTTCTCCTTTTTGTTTTCCGTTTTTGTTTTTTTTGAAGATGTCAAATTAACGTTACGTTCTCAAGTAATTCTTTTTTAAACCTTCATGTACTTTAGCTAAGCTCTTGTTTTTTCACTAAGACTTTGTGGGTTTTCGGATAAATTAAAAAAGAATAGAACCCGTACCCGTACGCAACCTTTCGGATCGGGTACTGGTGCGGGTCGGGTTGCACATCTCTAGTCAGTGGTAGAAGAAACGAGTTTCTTGATTGATCGGAACAGATAATGTATTGTTGCGAAACACATTTAATGAGTTGTTACTGATAAAATATAAGACAAACCCTAGGTAATCCTGTATAGAAGTTCACAGCATTTGACAGGTTTCCTAGTGTAAGCTAATGTAGAATTCAGATGATAGAATCATTTAAGAAGTACCACACTATCCTAATGGAAATCACATCAGTTCCTATGATAAGATTACGTAGGATTTCATAGGATCCTAAAACGATTTTCTGTGTTTCGTAGGATCCCATATGATGTTGGGTTACTCGTTCAGTGTCCACACAGGTAGACGCTTCAATTGGCGTAAATAAAAGTCATATGATAACTTATCTTATCAATTCTTCTAAACTAATTGTGTAATCTGTCTTGCCGAATTCTTATAGGAAGCGTATAAGATTCTTGTATTCATTCATATGTTAATTTATCGAAATCTTACGCATTTTCATCGACTGCCTTATATAAGACCCTTATAGACTTCCAATTGCGGCTTCCAAGGAAATCGGATCTCCAGAAAACCTTTCAAAAATCAACTTTTGTATAATTGATTCAGATAGATGGCAAATGAACTTCGTGCAAAATGAGACCGTGTTCAGCCTGCAAAGCCTCTTGTACATTGTTTGTGGTCTAGTTCAGACATACCTTTTATTTAGTTTTCTTTTAGTCAAATTATTGAGTAATAAAATATTAAAAACTCTAATATAAACTTAAGTGAGGTTAAATTGAGCGAAGTTGTACAGCGCTTACGCCCCCCCACAATAGAAGACCAGTCTATTTTGCCCGCAAGTTGAGTTCCAAAGGGTGGTCTTCTATTGCGGTCAAATTTTGTCGCCTGCTAGTAGTCCAACTGTAACCCCTCACATACTTGAAGTTCATGCCCTATTAGAAGAACATTTTGGCGAAATTGTTTTGAAAACTACCCTATAGGGCATTTTCTGAGTTTTTTCGTGGACATAATAGAAGACCATAGTCTTCTATTTGGCTTCTAAGTCATATACTCGGCAGTAGTCTTCTAATAGGGGATGGTCTTCTGTTATGGAAAGAGGTTTATTCCACTTTTCTACTTTTAAGTATTTAGCTGAGGGGTGTCATAATCCCGATACGGTGCGTATTCGGATTTTTGATGTAGTGTGAAAACGTAAGGAATGTGTGAGGATCCTGAGGAATATGAGGAATGCGAGGAATATGAGGAATGTGAGGAATATGAGGAATATGAAGAATGTGAGGATCCTGAGGAATGTGAGGAATATGAGGATTATGAGGAATATGAGGAATATGAAGAATGTGAGGATCCTGAGGAATGTGAGGAATGTAAGGAATGTAAAGATCCTGAGGAATGTGAGGAATGGGAGGAATATGATGAATGTGACGAATATGAAGAATGTCAGGATCCTGAGGAGTCTGAGGATCCTGAGGAATATGAGGAATGTGACGAATGTAAGGATCCTGAGGAATATGATGAATGTGAGGAATATGATGAATATGAAGAATGTCAGGATCCTGAGGAGTCTGAGGATCCTGAGGAATGTGAGGAATGTGAGGAATGGAAGGATCCTGAGGAATATGAAGAATGTGATGATCCTGAGGAATGTGAGGAATGTAAGGATCCTGAGGAATATGAAGAATGTGAGGATCCTGAGGAATGTGAGGAATGTGAGGAATATGAGGAATGTGAGGAATGTAAGGATCCTGAGGAATGTGAGGATCCTGAGGAATATGAGGAATGTGACGAATGTAAGGATCCTGAGGAATGTGAGGAATATGAAGAATGTGAGGATCCTGAGGAGTCTGAGGATCCTGAGGAATGTGAGGAATATGAAGAATGTGAGGATCCTGAGGAATGTGAGGAATGTGAGGAATATGAGGAATATGAGGAATATGAAGAATGTGAGGATCCTGAGGAATGTGAGGAATGTGAGGAATATGAAGAATGTGAGGATCCTGAGGAGTCTGAGGATCCTGAGGAATATGAAGAATGTGAGGATCCTGAGGAATTTGAGGATCCTGTGGAGTGTGAGGCTCCTGAGGAATGTGAGGAATGTGAGGAATATGAAGAATGTGAGGATCCTGAGGAATGTGAGCAATATGAGGAATGTGAGGATCCTGGCAAATGGAGGAATGTCAGGATCCTGGGAAATGTGAGGATCCTGAGGAATGTGTGGATCCTGACAAATGTGAGGATCCTGAGGAGTGTGAGGAATGTCAGTATCCTGGGAAATGCGAGGATGCTGAGGAGTGTGAGGATCCTGAGGAGTGTGAGGAATGTCAGTATCCTGGGAAATGCGAGGATGCTGAGGAGTGTGAGGAATGTCAGTATCCTGGGAAATGCGAGGATGCTGAGGAGTGTGAGGATCCTGAGGAATGTGAGGATCCTGAGGAATGTGTGGATCCTGACAAATGTGAGGATCCTGAGGAGTGTGAGGAATGTCAGGATCCTGGGAAATGCGAGGATGCTGAGGAGTGTGAGGATCCTGAGGAATGTTAGGATTCTGACAAATGTGAAAATTCGGAGGAGTATGATGAATGTGAGGAATGTGAGTATCCTGTGGAGTGTGAGGATCCTGAGGAATGTGATGATCCTGAGGAGTATGAGGAGTTGTTTGCTTCGTCACTCACTCTCACTGCCCGCACGGCCCTCCCCCTGCCGACTCAGTTGAATTCAAAGGGGGCTCGATGAGTTTCGATATATGGTTGAAAATCCAAGTACCCCCAGAATCCTGAAAATCCTAAATGGACCGGTTTACTTCAACATTCGGGCAATTCGGAATTTTTAATTTGTGATGATTCGTGATTTCTGTACGCAGTACGTAATTCTGACGGAATCAGAACCGCTCAGATGTTCAATGATGCTCAGTATTGAACATGGGGCATACCTGAGGGTGTCTACATGAGACGCTACTGGTTCAGTTATTTTCTGAGGAAATTGAGTCTGAGGATCCTGAGGAATGTGAGAAATGTGAGGAATATGAAGAATGTGAGGAATGTAAGGATCCTGAGGAATATGAGGAATGTAAGGATCCTGAGGAATGTGAGGAATATGAGGAATGTGAGGAATGTAAGGATCCTGAGGAATGTGAGGAATATGAGGAATGTGAGGAATTTGAGGATCCTGTGGAGTGTGAGGATCCTGAGGAATGTGAGGAATATGAGGAATGTGAGGAATATGAGGAATGTGAGGATCCTGGCAAATGGAGGAATGTCAGGATCCTGGGAAATGTGAGGATCCTGACGAATGTGAGGATCCTGAGGAATGTGTGTGGCAGCGATGTGCACGGGTATCATTTTTCTTCTTCTTGAAAGATTAATATTGTTTGTTAGTATATTCGAACAGCTTTTGAATGATATAGAAATCAGATGTCACTTTGAATTAGTTTAGGAGATTGACCGAGTATGGTGTCAGGTACAAGGTGACCACCATGCATGGCCTTGATCTCCTGATCTAGGTAATGCAACCAATAATGTTAGTAACCAAAATGTTCGCCTTGTCTCGTTCTACAAACCTATGAATATAGTTTGTTCACTTCGGTTCAAAAAGGTCTATAGCCCAAAATAGCTTCTTATGCGGACTTGTCCTTTCTGACAGCGTCATCGTGATCAGTAGCCCCGATAACCTATTTATACATGCCTTTCAAAATTTTCAAAAATGATTCTTACGTTGAAGGCGTAAATCACTGTTCTGCTGGACGACAACGACAATGTAAACGGCGATATACGCCTTCAGCCTAAGAATCATTTTTGAAAATTTTGAAAGGCATGTATAAATAGGTTATCAGGGCTGCTGATCACGATGACGCTGTCAGAAATTTCAAAACCCGCTGGATCTTGCAAGAAAGCGATTTAGTCCAGTTTCCATCCTGTAACCGGTATATGAACGTTTAGTCCCCATTTGTTTACTTGTTTAACTTTCTTAACTATCCAGAAATGCTAAAAATGCTGAAAAACGTGAGAGGAAATAATTTCATCACAGTACTGGATCATTCAGTAGATTTTCACAACGTTCGGTATCTTGAGCATGGGCGCATACGATAGTGAAATTTTCGTTTTTTGCGGTTAATGATCGAGTACTGATGATAGATATGAGTATCTCAGGGCAAACAATACGACGGAATAGTTGTCCGATTGGTTTGAGTACATTCAAGAGCAAGAAAGCGATTTAGTCCAGTTTCCATCCTGTAACCGGTATATGAACGTTTAGTCCCCATTTGTTTACTTGTTTAACTTTCTTAACTATCCAGAAATGCTAAAAATGCTGAAAAACGTGAGAGGAAATAATTTCTTGAAATAATAGGATCTTGCCGAAAACCTCCAGAAACCCCTGGAAAACCCTGGCCCGCACCTTTTTCTCAGTTTTTTGTTTCGCCAGTGAAAAGCCCTTGAAAAGTTACGTATACTGACAAAGTTTCGAATTGGTTCAAGGTTTCCTTCTGGATCGTCTAAGAGGAGAACTGGTCTCCAACCAAAAGTGCCAAAAACCAGGTAGTAATGTGAAGATTTTGAGCGAACAAAATTTTCCCACGCTTTCTAATGTTGATATTCGTGATCAGCATGGTCGACTTCATATTACCAGACGTGTTCGGAGGAAAACGAAAAATAAAAGTTTCTGAAAATCCCTGAGGGGGACCCCAGACCTCGAAAACCCGACCGAGAGATTTCCCGGAAAACAGTATCGGGAAATGTTCAGGGGTATGCCCTGACCATATTTCGATGCAAAAAAGCCGAAAATGTTTTGGGCCAGGAAACGGCCTTAATGGCCCACGTCCTTTAGATAGAACACGTTTCGATGCAGTTTGACAAGCTCTTTCGAATGAGACATTGCTCGAGCAAAACGCATAAAAGATGGCGGAGTAAAACGCAGAATATCCATAGTCACAGGGTTTCCGGGTTCTCCCGATCTGCTCACTTTGAAAAGGGCCTACCTCGGTCAAAATAAGTCGAAAACGGCTCAAAATGTTTTCATAACCTCACTTTTGCATGCAGATTCCTTAATGGCCCACGTCGTTAAGTGGATGAGGTTGAGCGAGAGGAGGCGACATCGCAGCCGAAGAAGAGCGATCGCTGCTGCTGTCGACCGTGGGAATGATGAAGGCCGAGGTTCGGGTTCAGCTGGTCGTTCAGACGACGACGAAGCAGTATTCGAATGCACTGAAAGAGAACGGACAAGAGTTGAAGTGATTTTCTTCTTCTCCAACTGAATAATTTCTCTCCAAACTACTGAGTTTTTTAGATGTAACAGCAAATTCGCTAATGTCGAATAAAAAAGGAGCGAACAAAATAGCGAGTTGAAAATCCGGAAATGTGGAAAATGGGCACAAAAATTTCTGGCTATCACTGAGAAAACCTCGAAAACTTTTTCGTTCTTGATTTTTCGCAATCCATTCACACGCGTAAGAATGTATAATGTCGTGAGACTTTATACATTCTCAAGAGGCTACCTTTTGTTTTCACGTCATCTTCGAAAAGAGCAGCTGAATTTTTCAGTAAACTCTCAAGATGCGCAGTAAAAAATGTGGAACACGAAATCTAGTTCCAAATGGTTCTCACGTCAAAATTCCACATAAAAATTGCGATTATGAAACAAACATCTATTTTGGTCACCCAAAAATTATTCTCGCCGAAAAAACTCCTGCCGGAAACACCTTTCCATCAAAAGTTTTTCCGCCAAAAAACTTCTTTCGGGGAAAATGTTTTTCATCGAAAAACTTTTTCGAGGAAGAAGTTGAACATCTTTCGACAACGAATTCGCTCAAATTCTTCTCTAGTTTTCACGGCAAAAACATTTGGATTTTCAAGAATTAAAACAAAAATTCATTGCGCAAAAAGCAGCAACGAAGAAGAAGAAGAAACTCATCTTGGTCAGGAGGAAGTGTGAACGGTGAGTGGCCCGACGTCGACGAGGGACCGGAGAAGGCCGATGCTCGCAGCTCGTCGACGGTTCGATTGATTTCTCTCTCCTCCTCGGACGTCCATGACGTGTTCGAAGCCACTGAAAAGAGAATGAAGCGAAATTAGTTCTACCTCGTTTTTCCTTTTTTTTCGGATTCCTTCTCGCATTAAAATTCGAAATAAAAGTTTCGAAGCAAAAACAGAGAGGTGAAAAAATCCGGAAAGATAAAGCAAAGGCGAGGAAAGGACGGGTGTTAAAAATCTGAGTTGAAAAACGAAGACGGAATCACCTTTAGAAATGACAGAATAGCTCTCAAAATCCGAAACAAAAGAATTCTGGAAACAAAAATCCGGTATTGTTTTTACTTGGGGTAGAATACAGTCATTTTTTGCGCAAAATACACTTAAGTTACCGTAAACTAAGGTACAAAACACGCATTTTTTGCAAAAAAGAGTGCTTATATGTATTTTTGACGTGAAGTACGACCGTTTTCAATCGAAAAACCACCGAATTTACTCGAAAACATGTGTAAAACACGCACTTTCGCACGAACATTTGTATTATTCTTTTTTTGGGGACGGTTTTGCTGTTTTTAATGCCATAAACTACTGAAAAAAACTAACATTCACTGGTTTTTCTATTGAAAACGGTCGTACTTCACGTCAAAAATATATATAAGCACTCTTTTTGGCAAAAAAATGTGCGTTTTTTACCTTAGTTTACGGTAACTTCAGTGTATGTTGCACAAAAAGTGACTGTACTCTACCTCAGGTAGAAAAAAATCCGTTTTTTTTCCGGATTTCTGTTTTCCGGATTTTTTCCCGGATCTTTTTGTTCCCAATTTTATTATTCTGGCTTTTGAGACGTATTCTGGAAAAACTACTGAAATTACTCCCAAATGGAGATCAAAATATCACTTTTTAACGAATTATTTTGAAAGAGAAGTTTATTGCTTCCACAATTCAAGGATTTTTCGTCTATAAATATGGATGCACTCCACTCCACCGCAAGTAACACGTATTCTGGGTTTTCTCTCATCCACTTCTAGGCTTTGATCAAGCAGTAAGAAAAGTTCCGTAGTTACAAATCTTTGAGTATATAAAAAGACTTTCGCTGACCTGTCGTTGTTCCGAGAAGATCGTTCTGATTGTCGTCGCCGAGCGAGCTGAGATGGTCGTGTTCGAGTTCTTCTGAAGCGATATAAGGACAGAGAGACACGAACGGTCGCGTGTAGAAGATATCTGACTTTCTAAGTCAGCATAAAAGAAGAAAAGTCTCAAGCTAAACGCACTGAGAAAAAAAGAAGAGAATGTACCTTTTTTCGGCTCAATCTTTTTTTCTCAGTACTCTCCAGGACGTGGTGTGCGAGCGAGGTTGTACGTGAGAATACTATCGTTCATTCAAAACCGAAGGTTTTTTACCCGGAACTAACTACACTCCCAAAGCAGACTTTCTACCACCACGGTAAAAAGAACACGTGCATGAGTAGTCCAACAAATTCTCAGCTTGAGATGATGTTGGAATGACAGAGCTGCCGCGAAGCAGACAAATTACGAGAAAGATTGTGACATTAGTACGGTCAGGAGAAGACCTCTGACATT